AATATATAGTTAACTAAAAATATTCTAAATATTCTTACTATATATAATAAAAATAATATATCTTGTAGGAAATTGAATAATCTTCAAATAAGTTCTATTATTTTTCATTTAATCGACTCGAAAGTTACTGAAGGTTAAAAAGTTCAACTTCAAATCGTATAGTAACTTTCATAATTTTTTATATTTTATCACGAAATACTGGCTCAAAAACATAAAATATCCTATATCTTATCGGAGCTCCAACTTTACCAGAATTTATTTTATCATCGTGAACGATATTTTCGTGGTAACTAATATAAAAATAATATTTTTTTAATACACCCTACTGTGTACAGATATTCAAAAAAGGTAAACAAATTATCATCTTGTTAGTACTTTGTTATCAACTTGACTTGATTCTCCTATCAATCTTGCTTGATCCCCTCTTGCCATTTTTCCTATTTTCTTTTCTTCTTTGAGTCACAATAGGCATTTACCGCTGCAGTCTTCAGTGGTCTCCTACTGAATACAACACAAAATACCTAGAGCTTTATTTTACCCATAAACATTTATCAGAATTAAGACCGCATTACCTAGAAAATTATCTACCCTACATTATTTTACCTCTATTATAGCTTGAGATAATTTTTCATCACTCTGAGGTGTTTATTACAGTCATTAATACACAAAGCCACGCAAACTATGTGCAATACGACACCAGATGGCGGTGCAATTTTACATTGTCTAACTCCCTGGTACGTCTGCACTAGTAAATTAATGAATATAATACATCAACGTTCTGAACTTCGAAATTCGAGTTACATCGTTAAGTAGCAGACTCAAAATTGAAAATATCTCGCTTGGAAAATTACGCTAACTTTAAATTAGTGTTATCGTGTGGAAAGTTTTAGAAAATTTGCAAAAATTCATGCCGCTATGTGTATGTTTTTTTTTTGGTTTTATATTCGCAGTATAATAAATTTCAAGTTTGGATACAACACGTCCAATTAGGAAAGGGGTTCCCGTTAAGGATTGATAGGTGAGGGTCAGTGATATAAGTGCTTTAATACTAAGTGTCGTCTGTGGTATTTACAATTAAACTTTGAATATACCGGGTGCGTCTCAAAAGTGGCTCACACCTATAACTTTTTTATTTTTTCAGATAGAAAAACGAGATTTGATATGTTAATATATGACATAAATTGTGATTGATTGACGTATTCAATTGTTTTTGGTCACTTCCTGTTTCACCGGAAATTACTGCTATTTTTGATTTTTAAATTACACCCCGGTATATTTTTACTTTATTCGATAGAAAATGATATTCTGAATAGAATGACGTATCATATGTCAACTTTTGACAATTTCGCTTAATAAAAAATCATATTTTCAATCTCAATCTAGAGTGCCATGTTAAAAACACTAATTCTTAATCAAGGAGCCATGGAAAAATACATTTGATCGTCTAATGTTTTTAGTGTCTTGTCCTGGCCGGTTAAAAATTGCTCAAATCGTATTTTTAATCATATTTCAATTTTTTCAAATGGGTGGCTCCTTAGCATATTTGGAAAAAGCATTTTTTTACGAATATATTGATACCACACACTTGGTATTTCAAGTCAAATTTTCGCTACGAACCGCAAGTTATAATTTCAAATAAACCATATGCGAAAATATCAAAAGTTGACACATAATATGTCATTCTATTCAAAGTGTTATTTTCTATCGAATAAATTAAAAAAAAATACCGAGGGTGCCATTTAAAAATCAAAAGTTGTAGTAATTTCCGGTTAAAAAGGAAGTGGCCGAAAACAATAAAATACATCAATTAATCCCAATTTATGTCATATACTAACATACCAAATCCCGTTTTTTTATCTGACAAAATAAAAAAGTTATAGGGGTGAGCCACTTTTGAGACGCGCCCGGTATAGTATGAATATCGATATTAAAAATAATCCTAAATTATCAGTAAACGATTAGAACTAAAATAAAGTCTTTTAAGTTAACGTCTTCTTTTTGCTGCTTATTGCTAAGGTTATTCTGGACTAATAGTCCACAATCTTTTCAATTTAAAATGTGTTTATCTATTTCTTATTAATTCTCTTTTTACTGATTCTGTTAAATACTGTGCTACTTAGAAAGGCAGCAAAAATCTAATTGAAAGTTTAATTTGACTCACGGAGTCAACTTTTCATATAAAAATAAAAAAAAATCATAATTTACCATGTATATTCTGAATAAAGTTAAATGGAAAACAAATTTTCCTGCAATTTTTGGCATTAAATTTGCACACATTTGGCTAAAACAAACACCATTTTGATTATCTCATGAATAATAGGCTTTCTCTTTTTTGATTTAATATTTTTAAAAGGCAAACTATATACTAATTCTCTATTATTTTGATTTTAGCTTTTCACTAGATAAAATAAACTTGTTAAAGTCTTCTTACAGACATCCGTGAACTACTAGAGTTCCACAAGTTGCAGAAAAAACATGGAAGTGTTGAAAACTTTTAATGGAATTATATTTCCCTTTTGCAGCTGAAAAAAACTTCCTTTGAGACTAGGCCTTTTTAGTTTTAATTTTTCAGTCCGTTAAAATGAAAAGCACAGGAGTAAAAAGTTTCGATTCTAGGTTAAGTGCTTTTTTAAAAATTCCCTATTCGTTGAACTATTCATACCGTTATGTATTTTTGTAATTACGATATTTTAGCTTCTCTCACAGTGGATGCGGATAAGCACAAAATATAAAAATGCGCGAAACTGTCCGAATTTGAAATGATTGCACAGTGAATGCGATAAAAAGTTGCGAACAGCGGTTGCAAGAATAGTTAAAATGTCAGTTTGGGATATATATTTTCTGAAAAAGGCCTTCTTACGACGAATAATCATTTGCAAAAGAAGGAGGATATGGGTGAATGAGATATTAAAAAAGAAGTGAATTTGGTGAGTTAATGATTTCAACATATTTGGAAAGACACTTCCCACGAGGACCTTTGTAAATTGTGCTAAATCGGTTTTTGCTGGTCCCATAAATATTTCCGCTCACGTACTAAATCAATTATGCCCACTTGCACCGTTTGTATAAATTTTGTTTAAAGACTAAACAGTGATTAATTATAATAAAATATAGTTAACCACTGTTTAGCCTTTAAACAAAGTTTATACAAACGGTGCAAGTGGGCATTAGTGTTTCCATGTCCCGTATCCATTTTTATTTTGAAGAGAAAACCTTCAAGAAAAGTGCAAACAACGCAAATATCCCAACCAGACGGGATTTGTTCGGAAGTCGCAAATATACTAAGTGACACTGAAAATAGAACACCCACTAAATATTGTTTAATTTTAATGAATGTTTGTAAGCATGTTTATTATTGTATGGATAAGAAATGATTATAATTTGAACGCCGTCAACACACTAGTTTTTATGCTATACATGTTTTTGTTAAAATTCCAGTCATCCAATATAGACCCGGCTTTCGCACAGTTTGTTACTTATTCTGCTACAGAGTAGTTTCAGGTATTTTTCTGAGTTTATTATAATGCCTAGAATACTTAGACGTGCCAATTTTAAATAACTCAGTGATTTTGATAGGGGTCGGATTGTAGGTTTGCGGGAGGCAGGAATATCATTTCGAGAGATTGCTGATAGGGTCCATAGAAGTGTTTGCAGTGTTGCCAATTGTTGTAGAGCTTAGTTTCAACAACACCGTGAACATCGTGCCAGAGGTACAGGGCGTCTAAGATTAACCACTGAGGGTCAAGATCGCCGTTTAAGGCAATTAGCTGTCAGAGACCGTTCGGCCACTTCCCGAGCAATTGCTAACCCTAAATGGTTTACGGAACACGGAAGACTCATCACGATGCGAACTGTTTACCGACGAATACGGTCTTTTGGGCTGTTTTCTTTTCGGCCTCATTGGGTTTTACCATTGACCCCCGAACATCGACGACAACGTCTAGAGTGGTGCAGAGCCCGACAAGAATGGGGCGCAGAATGGAATGCTATCGTTTTTAGTGATGACTCGCGATTTTGTTTGGGAATGCACGACGGTCGGGCGCGAGTGAGAAGATACCGGGGAGAAAGGCGGAATCCATAGTTTTTCATGGAGAGGCACGTAAACCAAGTTGTAGGAGTTATGGTTTGGGGAGCAATCGCATATGGTAGCAGATCACCTCTAGTATTTGTTCGAGGTAATGTGACAGCCCAACGCTATATTGAGGAAATTGTAGAAGCTCATCTCTTACCATACTTACGAACGCTCCACAATCCTATATTTCAACAAGATAATGCCCGTCCCCATGTTGTTAGATTAACTGTGAACCACTTACATAATGCCCAAGTTAATCTCCTACCCTGGCCACCAAGATCTCCAGATCTCTCTCTCCCATGTATGGGATATCATGGGTAGGAGACTGACAAACTTACCGCATCCTCCTCAGACTCTAGAAGCTCTTCGGCATGAGATACAGTTAGCATGGGATGAAATACCGCAAGAAGACATAAATCATCTGATTAGTCCCATGCACAGACGGCTCAACGAATGTATAGAGCATCGAGGTGGTTCAACACATTATTAACAAGGACAAGGTAACGAGCCAAGATTTTCACTCCAAATTTTGATCATTTACGCCTTTTGTCAACCTACATTCATGTACAAAAGAATATTAAAATTAAACAATTTTTACCGGATGTTCTATTTTCAATGTCAAGTAGCATACAGGTTCAAACATTCTATAGTTTTTTTTTCTCTTTTGTGGGGTTATGATATATTATCTTAAAAGTTTTTCTATTTCTTAGTTTTGAGCATTGACGATATCTAAACACTTATTTGATTGGAACCTCTTTTTTAGTAGTGTTGCCAGAATATTCTTGTGTTGAATCGAATATCAAATAAACTCCCCGGCACAAAATTCCGCCACCCTAAAAATTTCATTAAGTTTAATGTTTCATAACTTTTTATTTTGTAATTCGATTTTTATGATTATGGTATCAGTGTAAAGATAAATTTATTGGCATTATTTTTTATTATTTTAATAGCATATATTCATCGGTTAGGTGGATTTATACCGGGGTAAACCAATACGTTGTTTTTTGCAATAAATTCAAAACACCCTGGGGAAAAAATGAGATGGGCATTTTGGATAGAAAACACTTTCCTGTAATCTTAGATGTATTCCTAACACTTTATTTTTTGAATTATCCCATTATCTCTGTTCTTTTATGAGGTACACATTTTTAAGTAAAGTATTGATTTCAGAGATTCTTTTAATGACAAAAACAATAATTTTATAAATCTCCACCTATATCCCGTGTATGTTCACCTCTCGCAGCAATAACAGCTCGAGGTCTTCGTCGTAACGAATGAATAAGAGTAGTTATTCTTCCTTGATCTATAGATTGATTAATATCAAGCTATAGATTAAGAAAATCCTTTACAAGAGCTAAGGAATCTCCGTTAATGCTAGCCATAGCTCTTGTAAAGTTTATAGTGGAATAGAACGACGACGAAGAGCTCTTTTAAATTCATCGCACAACTGTTCGATTGGATTGAGATTCCTACAAGGAGGCCATTCCGGTTTTCGTAGTCCAACCTCATCCAGGTACTCGTTAAGTACTCGTACTCCTAACACGTTACCCCGCGCAACATGGGGCCCGGCATTCTCATGCCTTAGTATAAACTGATTTTCAATGAAACGAGCAAATGGAAACTACAATTTCTTAGAGGACATCCTCAATATAACGGTAGGCATTGAGAGCTCCATTTTCAACAAATACGAGATTGTAAAAATATCAGTACTTTATTTAAAAATGTGCAGCTCATAAAGAATAGAGATAATAGGATAATTCAAACAATGAAATGTTAGGAATACATCTAAGATTACGGGAAAGTGTTTTTTTATCCAAAATGTCGTCCGTCTCATTTTTTCCACAGGATGTTTTGAATTTATTGTAAAAAACAACGTATTGGTTTACCCCGGTATAAATCCACCTAACCGATGAATATATGCTATTAAAATAATAAAAAATAATGCCAATAAATTTATCTACAAGCTAATACCATAATCATAAAAATCGGGTTAGAATTTCAAAAGTTATGTAACATCAAACTTAGTCAAAATTTTGGGGTGGCGGAATTTTGTACTGGGGAGTATAACCGAATAACAAGATTTGAAGCGGAAATTAAAGTTAGATCGTACACAATCATAAATTTCGATTAATTGTAAATACCAAGACGGGTGTTCCATTAAACAAGGTGACGAAGATGATGCAAATAACTCTCTTGGTGACTTGGAAATCATTTCGGCGAATTAGTAGTACTCTTTCTTCGTGATGCGCGTGTTAAAAGTCATATTGGCGATTGAGCAATGTTTTGATGCCGTGTCGGTTGCTTATTGGCAATTCTTCAGTCTTATTGTGTTGTGGATTTTATTTTAATTATTCTTCTTCTGTTGCTTGTAAAACCACCTGAAATAGAAGAAACATAGGTAGATGCTATAACACATATAAAGCTATAACACATACAAAATATGGGATAAAGCCAGGAAAATAAAATTTCATATTTGTAGGAAACAGTGTAACGTGAACTGATGTAAAATAAGTATCAATATGATATATATTATTATTACATAAATAAGGTTTTCTTTGGCACAATATAATAAAATATACATAGTGCATATATTCACTATTCGGAAGAGGTTGCTGTTCCGATTAAAGGCTGATTCACACTATACCTTCTATTTCCATTCCATATCCCTTCTGTATTTTTTATTGTGATGACGCTATACGTTAGCTTCCGTTCCGTATCAGTTCCATACTTTTTATTGTACAATTTATATCATTACGAAAGTTTTATTTTAAAAATTTGTATCTTTTGAAAAAGGTAATAGATTTAATTAATAGGTGAAAGAATAGATAAATATCAGCAAAATGTTAACAGAGCTGGTACAAATGTAAGAACTTGACAACGCTTCATTTCATTCGCCAAAAAAATGTATGGAAGGAAAGGATATGGAACGGAAGGGAAACGGAACGGATAGTGGGCATTGTCCCATTCAATTACATGATATAATATTTTATGTAAACGGAAGGTAGCTGATACGGAAGGTACAGTGAGAATGAAACTGAAAGATGTTTCACTGTATTTCTCTCTGAACATTAAACTCAAAACATGGGAAGAACGAGGAATTAATGGTTCTCATTATTACGTATTTCTCATTAAACAATAAAACCCGAATACTCGTTTAACTTCCTATTGTCTATTTTCTATTAATATAAATGGTCTGAAGACCAAAACATTTGTTTAAAAACTATTTATCATTTCAAATTCCGAACACAATACAGCATTATTTGTCGGTCTTCCAGAAGATAAACAGACACATCATATTAACTCTGTGAACACCCTGATCTAGGCCTGACACAAGACAATAACGAGAAATGAACTCGGACAATAGAGGGTCGGAAAGAATAAAAAACGAGTTTTTATTATCATTACAAGTCTAATGATGGAGACACTTGACGCTGTTTTCGTCGTATGTTTTGGAAAATAATGATACTCAGTTTAGGTCTCCTAGGTCGTTCGTTGTCGTGGAAAAACTCATTACTTTCCCGGAATTTTACGGACATCCACCGCAATAGTGAAAGAAAATTCTCTGTAATACGTGTCCTTTGTTATGGGTTGGAAGAAAAAGGTTTTTAATTATGATAATTGACTTGAGTTTTATAGTGATGTAGATTAAAAAACCATGTAATGGCAAATCGATATAATTGAGCAAGTAAAACAGTATTTTTATTTTTTTAATCTGCTTCGATAGATAATTAACGATAGTAAAATAATTGTTAAGAATAGCCAGTAGATTAGAATAGTAATTGAATGAAGCCATTAAATGGCTGAGATCCTATCGACGAAACATCAACAGTACTGATTATTTAAATATTATGACAAAAATTTAACTTCAACTGAAAATCATAGATTAATGGACACATAGAATACCCTCAGGGACTCACGTTTTGTGAGTACGGGTTTAGCAACCCCGAGGTGCCCTAGCTGGATGCTCACTTTGTTTAAACTTGTCTTGGGTGAGATCCCTATCCTTTTTTCTTTTCTATCGATCTCCCTTGATCAGGTTTTAATTTCTTCTGACCTTCTTTTTCATCTCTTTGAACCAAAATAGGTCCCTCAAATCAAAGTGGATAACCATTGGAGACATGCTCAACTGAATACAACAACTCGGGAACCTAGGGTTTCTTAGTGTACTTCTTCAGATATGTCGCTAATTTACTTAAGTTTATTTTATATGGGCTTCATATTTTAGATTCAACTAAAAACCCAATCCCACAAGTTACTTCAAATTATTGGGATCAAAGTATGTACGACTCCATATATAATGCTCCTATATAAGATCTTATCTCTAAAGTTTACCACAAATTTCTCCTTCGTACGTCAGTTTCTGATAAGCCAAAAGTCGTGCGGCTGATCCGTGATTTACCATCAACTAATATCCAAGACTGATATCAAAAGGTTTATTTCTCCCTTAGGGGATAGTGATCGATTTTCTTGTAATATCAGAGGATATAAGAAAGTAAAGGTCTTGAGGTTAGCTTAAATAAAAAAGAAGTGAACTCAACAAGTCAATACATTGGTTTAATTTATAGATATAACATTCTCTCCTTCATAAAAATATTTCTATTTTGAAACACAAACAAATAGACAAGAAAATAAATTCTATGTATTACTATGTCGTTATAGTTTTGAAACAATTTTGAATATAATTATCTTCTAAATTTCCATACTCGTTTATCGATTTCCATAATAAGTCTGTGCGTTTGTATGGTGCCGAGTCATAGAAATTGACAGAAGCGTCCACAAAGAGACTTGAAGCCTTTGAAATGTGGCTATACAGTCGAATTCTTAGAATCTCCTGGGTGGACCATGTATCCAACAAGACAGTTTTAGAAATGTTTCAAAAGTAGTCAGAAATAGTGGACATCATTAAAGAACGCAAATTAGAATACCTACGACACATAATGAGGAGCACTACGGGGGCATATAGAGACATGGTCTGCTGGAGTTGACACTCCAGGAAAAGAAGAGGACCTGAGAGGAGCAGAATCTCCAGAAAAAAGATTTTATTAAGATTATTCAGAACAGCAGTTAGTAAAATTCAAATCACTTTGCTTAGTGCCAACATCCGGAACACTCAAAGACTAAATTACAACAGATGTCCAGATATTCAAGGTTAAGCTCCAGATTGGGGTCTCCAATGATAAACCCACTTTTGTGTAAAATAGGAATTCTTATTTTTGTAAAAAAATCTTTAAACCGATTTTAAAGCTTCTTAAAAACGTTGTTGAACACTCATAGTCAAGTAAAATATTATTTTTCATCAGTTAAAATAACTGTAGGTATTGGCAACTTTGTTTAAGAAATACGAAATAATACCAATTCATTGTATTTCATCCAATTACCATAAACATTTAGAGCTTAGAAAATTGTGTATTTAACTTCATTAATCATCTAAATCGGAAATTTGTCAATCATAACTCCTTTCGCCTTTTAAAAAGAAAATAATAAATAAAGTTAATATAGGTTAGAGTTATTTAAACAGAACGAAAATTGATATGTGGTGCTTAAAAATTTACATTACTTTTTTATTTCAGAACTTTCTGTATGAGGAAATATGTTTTCCACCCAAATCATTTGATTGCTGATTGACATCTCTGAATCGTTTGATTGCTGATGACAATCGTTTAGAAATGGTAACGCTATTAATGGAAATTTTTTGAATAGTAAGCCTTCGATCGTGACGTCATCACCTTGTTTACTTCACAGTTATTTGGCCTTATGTCAAGTTCAAGTTGGTGTTGCCTAAATTGCTTCTTCTTACTTTTCTACTAGGTAATTTTAATTGAACAATAAAGAATGAGTTGGGTTGCACAAACTTCAACAATAAAGATTATATCACTAATTAACTACTTCGTTAAGAGTAAACTTACATTAAAAAAGGGGTTATATACAAAATTCCGATCATTTCCATCATCAATCCCTAGTTCGCTTCAGACTCCGCCGCCTCTTTCTCTTGGTACAGTCTTAACAGGTCCATGGCGTCTTGAGCCTGCCTCTTCTCGGACAAAAACCTCCCCGAGGCCTCCTTTAACTGGTCCAAGAAGATCTTATCGGGATAGGTGAGATCGGCTAACGAGTCCGGATCCATGTCGCTTAACAATTCCAGTTCTGGACCGCCCAGCAAAGATAAATGGCACAGATTAGTTTTAAGTCGTCCCACTAATCCCGCTAATTCACCACCTCTAGCGTCGTCCACTTGGTCCCTGCTAAAATCGCATTTCGGATACGGGGGCGACCACTTTTGATTATCTGCCAGCACCATGAGGCTCGTATTTGGTTCCAACGTTGCGAAGTACTCCTCGTCGTCTATTTCGGTACCGTCCGCTTCCAGAACCACTGTAAAATTGTTGTCGTTTACCAGTTCCAGTTTTTCTTGCACTTTCGAGGTTAAGTCGTCGAGGGACGAGGCCACGATTCCCTTGCGAATTTCCCGCGAATTGTTACAAATTTTAAACGGTTTCGATTTTTGGTTGTCTTCCGAATCCATTGTTGTGGTTCGAAAGTAAACGTTATCGGGACGCGAAGTAAACACGCCCACAATCAAAACGTAAACAACTCACGAGGAAACTCGGGGAATGAATGATTCGGAAAACCGCAGACGGCAAGTAGACAGCCGTTAAAGAACCAACGTTGCCATTTTTTTGGCGTTAACAAATTCCTTAAAATTCTATGGCAAGCATTTTAACAGTAACGTTATTATCAATAGTATAATTAGAAGAAAGGACACATACAGAACTTACATAAACTACAATGCAATAGATTAGTGTCATCATGTGGTATTAATTTAATAACAATATCCAGAAATCTTGAATGCTTCATTATCTTGCAGAATAATGACCATAAATGGCAACACTGTTCGCCGAAGGTTGCCGCCCTCAGAAAGTATGGTGTTTGGTTGGTTGCAGGGCGCATCGCGAACGAAAGGTCACTCGCGGTCATTGAGTAAAATCAATATTAATTTTGAAATTTTATTTACTATTTTATTCTTATTTAAATCTCCCAAATTAAGAAATGTTTATAAACATTTTTTTAACTGGACCCTTTGTGAAATTTACTTAAACGTGTATTACTGGTGGTATAATCATAAATTATATAACGGTTTTTTGGAGGGGTTGAAAAAAAAAGCACGTGATTTATGAATGGTTTACGATGTATTATTTTTATTCGGTAATGAGATCTACAAGTTTGTGGGAAGTGAAAAACAAAAGAGATAATAGATATCTTTATTAAAATAATGCCATTTAAGTACGTATAAAAAGTATAATGAGCAAAATGTAATATATATTTGAGATTCAATATCAATAAAAACATGAAATATAATTTGAAGTGATGAGTAACAATGAATAATTTCGTATATGGATCTAATATCAAAGCGAATTTTAATATATTTTATCAAAAATAAAATTATTTCAAAAATAATTTTAGAGATTTGGCCCATTTCAGAAGAAAATAAGATATAGAGTATATTATGGCTGACAGAATGTTTCTAAAAGGTAAGAACAATTATACCGTATGATCGAAAAAAACGGCGTCCAGTTGGCTGGGAAATGACGATCGGCATTTCCTATATAAACTTACATCTAAAATGACAGCGATCTTCATTTCGTAGCCATAGCTGACGCCGGTTTTTTTCGATCATACGGTATATTTCCTTTATATTTTTAGGTTAAACACTGGAATCATTTATTAGTTTACACCAGAACATCAAGGGATTTGTAATCGTAATTGGATTTCTATTACATGGTTTCTTTACTGTATATCATATGAATACCAGTACAGATAACAGTTGACATCAAGTTCCAGTTTTCCTTTTGTTCATCGAATATGTTTGGCAAGAAGAATCATTATATGACATAAGCTTGGTATGATGCTAGCCAGGATATGGTATCAGTCCATTTTGGCAATTGGCTCAATAAGTTCAGAAACTGCGGGGTCCTAGTGATCTTCCTGTCATGGACGTACCGTCCAATAACCACGAAATCCAGAGCAGTGGTACTGTCCCAATTGTCAGGTACTTCAAAAGTGAAGTCAAACTTAAAATCCATTTCTCCTATTCCAAACTGGTAGAGTACAAAATACATAGGGCGCTCTTGAAATGTGTGCTTAGGTGTGTAGAGTGTTTCTACTAAGCTAGTGTTATGTAAAATGACATCCTGTTTGGGGATTAAGTATATAGTGAGTCTATCAGGACCTTAAAATTGATTAATAATCTTTTATGTAAGTTCAGTTAAATTATTGAGTGAGGAAATTCTCTGCTTACCTTTTACTGACACATTGTACCTGATAAGATTAGGTGACAAATTAGTTTTAGATAGAACAGTAAAGTTAACTTGCTCAGTTGGCAGGACTGGCTGACCTGCTGGTATCCATGTACTGTAATCTCTGTAACGTTAATTTAAAATAAGGTTTAATATAATTTAACAAAATTTTATATTATCCTGGGAGTATATACTGTCCAAAGAGAAGCTCCATGACAGTGATACATGTAGCATGTAATATTTTCTGGCATTTTTTGGATGTCATCTATCGAAATTTTTCCTGATTCGCTGGACAGACTTTAGTTAAAAACATTTGAAACTTACGCTATTTCCAACATCAAGGGATGACTGAGCGGCAATCCACAAGCAGGGTAAACTTTACAATCCTCCTTTACCGAAACGGCTCTGCCTAAATCTTTAACATGATCTCTCAGTATCCTTGGAGAATTTCGATCTAAATTGAGGAAGAAAAATCCAGAATCCTTTTTGATTAGGTGTTTGGACTCGTTGAAAAACTCTCTAGATGTATGCTAAAGCAAAAAGGAATACTTAAAACAAACAATTGTTTTAATTTAGGCGCTTACCAAAATCCACTGTCTTTGTGGTCGGGGTTGAGTTGCATTTTCGCTATAAGGAAATCCATAAGGTGTGAAAATAATAATGATACATACTACAAACACTGTTGCCAATGTTAGGAAATAGTACTTCGCTTTTCTTAGACTGTTGGTGAATGCCGTCTAAAACAAATGGTTTAAGATATATAGAAACAAAATAGAAATGATTTCAATTGATTACCAAAGGAGAGACAATCAAGATGGTAAAAAAGAACACCATAAAACCAATTATTAATTCCGGGTTTTTAGATGAACCCATGCGGCCAGTAATTGGTATAAACAAAGAGAGAGTGGTGATTCCCTGGTACATTACGTTCATTGCAGGAAATATGTTGAAAATTACATAAATAATCTGCCATTTTTTGACTAAAAAAAATTAAAACCATTTAACAAAAGAAAATGGTCAAAAAAATCCTTTATGGGTATTTCGCTAGTATTACGCAAGAAAAATCTACAAAATCAAATAGGTATTTTTTGTAAACACTTCTGCGTTAAACCTAAACGGACGCTGCTTGTCAGAAGTTGTGTTTACAGTAATAAAAATTTGCCTAACAAAGAAAAAAATGCTTAACGTTTCGGAAAGTTTTCTCTTTCCGTCGTCAGAAGCAAAAAAATATAATTAATCAAGAAAAAAACTATTTAAAATATTTAAATTGAACTATTCGAGAACACTTTACTTTTTAAAACAGATACGTCTACAAGAAATCGTTGACGTTCTGTTAAAATGACATTATATTAAGTTAAACTTCAAAATTAACAATTACTTAATAAGGTAAAACCAAAAAGCCCAAACTTTATGATTATTTTTAAATTTTACGTATATGTTCTTTAAAATCAAAGAAGCGATTGCCATACATTACTAACATCTACAGATGCATGAGCAATACATTTATTTTTATTAGATTGAATTAAAAAAGCCTCTTTTATTTTTCTTTTAGAGGCTATCGCTTCTTTCATTATAATTTTGGCGTTATTAAAATTTATTCTGTGCCCTGTGTCCCATGAATGCTGACAAATCTTAGATTTGTGAAAATCTCCCTTTCTTAAATATAATCTTTATGTTCTTTAATTCTAACATTTAAGGATCTAGATGTTTCACCAATGTAAAATTTATCGCATTCACAGGGTATTTGGTATATTACATTTTTTGTTTGTTGTTCTGTATTTATTGGTTTAGTACTATATATTTATTTAGTTATTTAAAATGTATTGCTCATGCATCTGTAGATGTTAGTAATGTATGGCAATCGCTTCTTTGATTTTAAAGAACATAACATACGTAAAATTTAAAAATAATCATACAGAAAGTTTGGGCTTTTTGGTTTTACCTTATTAAGTAGGTAATTGTTATCAGGTAGTAATTGTTAATTTTGAAGTTTAACTTAATATAATGTCATTTTAACAGAACGTCAACGATTTCTTGTAAACGTATCTGTTTTAAAAAGTAAAGTGTTCTCGAATAGTTCAATTTAAATATTTTAAATAGTTTTTTTCTTGATTCTTTATATTTTTTTGCTTCTGACGACGGAAAGAGAAAACTTTCCGAAACGTTAAGCATTTTTTCCTTTGTTAGGCAAATTTTTATTACTGTAAACACAACTTCTGACAAGCCGCGTCCGTTTAGGTTTAACGCAGAAGTGTTTACAAAAAACAACTATTTTATTTTGTAGATTTTTCTTGCAGTGCAGTGGCGAAATACCCATAAAGGGTTTTTTTGGATAGATGAATCCGCCAGATAGATATAGACATTTTTTAAAATGGTCAAAGTTCAATTAAGCTTATGTGATGAATATGATATTCAGGTCACTTTCTTACCAGAATGGTCCAGCTTAAATAAATGGATACAGAAAAAAGCAGCTGAATTAAAAAAGACAGGTAGCATAATTGCATACATGGCTCTGATATTGAAATAAACACCCACTGCCAGTACAAGGGTCCATATAAGTCTAACAACGTGCGCCTGCACTTGGCACCTGATTCCCAAAGCAATATTCTAGAAACACAAAAACAATTTATATCTACTATAAAATCATGTTTCCGAAATAGAGAGTAGGTACCTCATGGTTTGTTAAGAATAATAAAATCCCAGAAAGACCAATTACAGGTACTGCGTATAGCCCACATACCAGCCAAGGATTAGCATACCAACTCATGGACTTGCCTAAGAGATCCAAAGCTACACCTGTGATAAATACAAATAAGATGCAAATAACCCAACTGCCTATAATTGCTGCTAGAGCACACCCTAAAAATTTTAATGTCTGCTTGGAAAATCCTAAAATCATCAAATTCAGTAAAAATATGATATAAAGCATTTCTCTTTAATTGTACCTATCTTAAAACTGAAGAAAGTATACACAAAATCAATAAGTGATGATGTTATCGCATACACATTTAGTATAGAACCAAAAAGTTTTGGGTATTTCATGAAAAACAGCCCAAAAACATCATAATATACTACTGTGCCTTCTGATGGCACATTTTCATATAGTTCTGGACAATTAGCTAAATTTTTTACTAGAGATATGACATTATCACCGGCATGTTGGTAAGAACCTAGAGGAATGTTTTCAAATGTATCATGACTTGTATGGTAGCGATAACCATCTTTTATAAATGCCATGTCCAAACCTACAGTAAAGATATAGAATAAAAAAAAATTAAAGAATGTCCTAATAAAATTTCAGTTGTACCAACTAGTCCACCAACATCACGGAACACTCTGAAATCGGTATCAGAAGGTATGATCCCACTCTGAAAAATTTCTTCTCCAGCTGCTTGACCATAAGGGTGAGGTACTTTACCATAATATTTTACCAGCCATGGTGTTTCAGGACCGGTTTGAAATAAAATGATTTTGCCACCTGATCCTGCAGCGTCAAGATTAATCACAACTTTACAACTAAAATTTAATCATTAATGAGAAACATATTTAAAAAAAATAATGTATGTTACTCTTTGGCCCATTCATGTTTGGTGATGAATCCGTGAGATGCCTCTAATGGAACTTCCTCGGCACCATTGAAAAGGAAAACTATATTATGTAAAGGACGGTTTTCATTTTGAGCAAATCGGCTCAAAACTTCAAGCATTACAGCTACGTTAATTCCATCATCACTTCCTCCTATTACACCAAAAAAATTATATTATATACAGGGTGGTCCGTACTGTATTCCGGAAACTTCAGCAGCATATTATCCAGATAAAAATAAGTAAAAAAGTTCTTATAAACTCGATTTTGATGTCAATATGGCTCCTACTTGTAGAGGGCGCCACCTACATATTTTTAATTGGTTTGAAGCTTTGAATAATGGTGGGTTCATACAGCCAAATAAAATAAAATAAGAATAAAATAAAATAAAATAAGAAAGTTGGTTATATGGGATACCGTACATGCGTTCATACAGCCAAATAAAATAACAAATAAAATAAAAAGTCTTTATCTTTTAACTTCTTGTTTTATTTTATGTGAAAACGGCTTTGCGCACGCTTAATTCTAACCTACAAATATTTTCAGTTTGGATTTAATTTATTTTTTAATTTCGCATAAGTAAAATGTATAATATAGTAGGCAACGAATAAATAAATATACTATAAATAGTAAAATTACTATACACAATCGTAAAAGTTAACTTTTATCTAGCCTCATCGTACTGCGCATGAGCAAATATATATTTCTTATTTTATTTTATTTGCCTGTATGAACGCACACAAATAAGAATTCCTTATTTCTTATTTTATTTTATTCTTATTTTATTTTATTTGGCTGTATGAACCCACCTTAAGAAGACTAAGGAAGGAGCATAATGCTATCCATGTATTCATGCATGGTGGGCGGAAAAGGCACCATAAAAGCTCTCTAGGGTGGGGATCCTTGACAGTTCTGTTTGACGATTCATTTGACACATTTGAATTTGATTTGAAATTTTGTGGATTTGTCAGTCTTTATGGAGCTTATTTTATGTTATTTATTATTTATTCTACTACTGATAGTTGTATAAAGGTAGTAAATCTAGATGGAAATTGTGGCAGAACTTAAATTAACAGTGACACTATCGCGATTTATCGAAAAAGACTCTAAAATAGTTGGTTGTGTAGCGTGCGGTAGATCTCGGCAAAAATTGAGTGAAATAATGGAACACCTTTTCGCTAGTAAGTGACTATATAATATACATACGTGCAGTAAACCGATAATTTATGAAATTCACTTAAATTAACTAAATTATATATTTTTCTTGCATTTTAGCTTTTATTTATTACTTGTCAAAGAATTTAGATACGTTAATTTGACTTACCTGCTTCAGTAGCGTATCGGATGTTTGTGTTAATAAATACTTATTATAACTTATCTATTTTTATTAGAATTATATATTTTTATAACTATTTTAATAACGGTATACCTTAATAACTACCAACATTTATTCACAACGTAAAATAAAACAACAAATTATTGAGTCTACCCCACGTCTACCCTACATCATAATTTTACATTTTTTAAATAAAATTAGAACGACACTGATAAACCGGAATTTAAGTCGGCCATATTTGAGGCCCATCGCGGTGTACCTAAGATTTTTGATGCTCCTTCCTTAGTCTTCTTATTCAAAGGTTTGAAGAGTAATAACTTTTCGTCCGTACCTGTATAAAACTACTAAGTAAAAAAATATACAATTACGACGTTTTTAACGCAAAAAAGATCTCTTAATAAAAATCGCTACGACTAATAGTTCTCGAGATATTTGAAATCGAAATGATCAATACCTGTCATCATTGACATAAATTAAACATGTTGACAAAATAGTTAGTAGACGGAATTCATAAATTTGAAATGTTTTTGTGCCAAATCATGACCAATAATAATTTTTTCGAAGAAAATTTTATGATTAATTTAAAAAAATAAAAATTTTCCAAATTTATCTTTTTATACTAAACTAAACTCTCTTTATCTTTTTAGTCCAATAACTATCTACACAACATGTTTATTTTTTGTCAATAATGACATGTATTGACTATTCCCATTCTAAATATCTCGAGAAGGGTTGCTCGTAACGATTTTTACCAAGAGACATTTTTACGTAAAAAAATATGAAAATGTATATTTTTTAACTCAGCAATTCTATATAGGTACGGACAAAAAGTTATTACTCTTCAAAACAGTTAAATCACATGCAGGTGGCGCCCTCTACAAATAGGAGTCATAATGACATCAAAACCAAATTTCTCATGTCAAAAAACTCCGAGACACCAATTTTCATCCAAATATTTACTTTACTTCAGAAATTATTTGGAAAAAATCGAAATAAAAATGAAACTTCTACACCCTGTATCTCCGAAACTAAGCATTTTAGGACATTATATAGTATATACATATATAGCATAAGAAGTTATTTACTTCTTTTTATCTGCAGAATATGCTCCCGGAAGTTTCCGGAATACAGTTCGGACCACCCTGTATATACATATATAGCATTGTATGTCTGCTGTTTTATTTATTTGTTTTACCTGGACTGGTTGGAGCAGAATCAAAATGCGAATTAACCAAAACACTAGCATTGGCACCATCTTTTCCATGAATTTTTGCTATAATGTTTTGAACATTCCCATAGCTATTGATAAACCCAGTCGAATAGCCTAAGAAATAGGATCCGCTTACAATTTGAGTACTTAACTCTACATGTTGACTAGGATTGGCACTGTTAATAATTGTGTCGATTCTTTTAGTCAGATAATCAACAGTAACCACCTCATTTTCGTGGCTGCCCACTAATCTGCAGCCTATATCGGTGAGATTTTTCACATCCCAACTTGCCCGTTCAGCGTTAAAATAATTAGGAAAATTGGGCTCGTCCTTCAATAGAAGCGGCGTTGGTAGAATACTATCGAAATACTGTACCATGCCCAACATTCCTGTTAAAATAAGTACCACCAATATTCCTATGTAGAATGGGAAACTGTGAATGCTCTCTTTGGTGCGAATTTCATTGTACAGGCTGTATATCTGCCTCGAATTCCACATTTTGTTTTAAGTAGAAATAAATATCACTAATTAATTATAATTTTATCACATATCTATAATTAATTGCATTTTATTGCAAATGTTTGACACACATTCAAAAACTGGTGCCGCATTAGTAGGGTTATGTTTATTTTTTGATTTTTTTCTGATCCGGTATTGCCACTGTTGCCAAAGTGTTCAAAGATTCTTTAAAGATGGTTAATTTATATACTCTTATGGAAAAGTAATTTAATTACTATCCTTTTAAAAAAAAACAGCGTCAGAGTTAACTTGACGGCGCATTTTCTCGATCATAAGGTATTCCAATAAATAAAACAACAGTTATTAGTAAAATTTTGTTTTAATCATAACTCAAATAAGTTAAGTGACAATATTCTTTTTCAATAACAATAACATTATTCCTATTACAGCTACACATAGATATTTTTGTGTATATACAAATCTTTTATTATTTCCAAACTAATGTTATTCGGCAGGTAAACTTCAATTTAATAATATATAATATATGACACTACAAAAACATTCAATAAACTAGCTAATAACGAGGGAAAAAAGTTCACTTTCATTATTCTGTTCGGAGATATTTCACTATATATTTATAACTGTATTAAGTACGATAATATATTTAGATTGTTAAAAAAACACAGGTGCATTGGTGTGTATATATATAAAACAAAGCTTTTTATTTATTTTCAGAAGAAACCATGTAACTCCTTTCAAATACATTCGAGTTATCTCACAAATAATGCTTTGAACAAAAATAAAAGACAAAAATAAAAAACAGAGAGATGATCAATATTCTATACAAAGCCCATATAGGTTAGCTGGGATTTTAATTTTATTTAATTACTTTCTTTCTACTTTTGAGTTTTTTTAATTTGTTTTAAAGTACAACAAATTAACAAAATGCTTTTGGTCGACAAAAAATAATACTTTGAGCATTTTCTTACTTATGAAACGCGCGAGTATTCTTAATTACTTCTAGATAAAAATATCTATAAATATTTATCAGAAGAAAAAATATGATAATTACAATAATATTCTTAATAATACTTAAACGTGTCATGTGTCATGCCATTATGTCAACCAAAAGCAATTGAAAAAAATACAGGATGTTTCTTAAAAATATGAGTAAGGTTGTGTTTTAATTGGTTGAAAATGGCGCATCTGTCAAAATTGACACTTAACATTTCACAAATTGAGAGAAAAAGACAGGAAGAATATAGATACATACAATACAGGGTGGGTCTTAAATAAGTGCAAATATATGCAGGGCTGGTATAGATTGGTAGATCTCGATAAGAGAAACATATTTTCTTTGTGCTGTTTTTCAAATAACTCCAAAATAACCAAGTTATTTTTTACTTTGAAATTAAAAAAAAATGTTGACCAAAGGTTTACAGTAGGGGGTTGAAACCTTTACTGTTACAACCGAAAAAGGAAACACTAATTCACCACAATACACCAAAACAGTTTACTTTTAACACAGCGCGCGCTTCGTTCAGATGATTATCAGCAGATGATTAAATTCTTTTGAGTTTTAATCATCTACTGATGATACTAATATGGTTAGCGAAACGCGGCGCCGTCAGCGTTAAAAATAAAGTGTTTGGGTGTATTGTGGTGAATTAGTGTTTTATTTTGTTGACTTAGAAAATTTTCACATTGCGTATTTTCAACTCCTTAAAATAAAGATTTACCGAAGTATCTATATTTTATTTATTTCAGAAACATCCTGTAGATATAAATACGTATTTAATAACAACAAAAACGAATGCGGTTTTGGCGCGAATCGATCCCCGCTATATCGATCGAACGAACAGCGTCGCTCGATTCAGCGCCGCCACGCGTCGGTGAGCGGAAGCTGCTGCTGCTGCTGCCGTTGGTCGGGACAGGGCGCTAGTGACGCGGCGGACGTTGCGGGAACATCCAGATGGACGCGGTTGGTCACAGCTTTTCCTTGGCGGGAACCCAGATCGTCGAGCCGGACTGGCCGTTGATCACTTCCTTCACTTGGGCGTAGATGTCTTCGGGAGTGTCGCCCTGGATGACAGCTGCAATATGAAGAGAATATAAAGGCGGGGTTTCACATGTCTTGGTTGGTTCATATTTCGGGAATTAGTTCTAACTTTCTAGTATGCGCTTGCACTCATATAATAACAATGTTCCATGCTTATTTTTGCATGTGTATAGTTAACATTTATGTATATGTATAATGAATGATGATGATAATGATATGTATAATGTACTCTTATCATTTATTTTTAATTGGAACAAATAAACTCTACTTCTACTACCGTATGATCGAAAAAAAAACGGCGTACAACAGTGTTTGTGAATAAACATTAATAATTTATAGACCAAAAAATAGATAATTTATAACATTTATAAACTGTCAAATTCAAAAAGATAAATATTTCGAAATCCAAACTAAACTAATTCAATCGCCTGAATGTCTTCTAGGTATGGAGCTTATTAATTAAAAATGAATCAAGATAATACGTGCAAACGATCCACGATGGTTTTTGCAGGTCACAGTTCACAGCTTTTTAAGTTTTTAATGCCACTTTTTCACAATTATCACGGGTTTGAGTAAATAAAATGTAAAGTAAACTCACAAGATAGTAATAATTACTTTGAAATGAGAGCGGTTTAAATTTTGAAAGATTCACATTCCAATCTAAATTTATTTCCTTTATCTATGCAGTAGTATCAGTAGAGGTCACCATCCAAAAGCTCATATTTATGTTTCATGAAAAGATTTAAGCATTTTAAGTGATAAAAAGGTCACTAGATTAAATGACGCCTGAATGTATTACTCACCTGTAAAATATTCTCCAAACTCCTGTTCCATCTTTAAGGCCCTCTCGAATGTTTTCTTGGCCTGGTCTTCCGTCATTCGCTTGTTCATTTCCCTAAAATATCAGAAAATGTTTAAAAAGTCATTCCATTATGACTAAAGAAAAAGAGAGTGTAACTTGGCGGTTTTGAATGATGACAGTAACTCTTCAAGCCAGCTAGATCCTAAAGCTATTAATTATCAGATTATATCTTACATTATAGATTCCATTGATTTTGGTTTGATGAATATTGCTATGGGGTACAATTGGGCCACCTGAAGTCTCTTGATGGCGTTGCCGCTCACGTCTAATATACAATGTTTGCCCTAAAAATAAATGTTCAAAATATTAGTCCGCAGAATACAGACACTGAGATAAGCCGAGAAAAGACCAGACGAATGTCACCATGGTTTCAGCGCGAACGAATGGTTTCCATCTTAGATCGAAGATCAACGAAAAATGCGAGCCGCCGGAGCCGCGAATGATTGGAAACGTTGCGGTGTGGACGTATCGGTAAAAATGCAGGAAGTGGAAAGAATTGGAATAATGGAAATGTCACCGATAATGGAAATGTAGATTCGTTGATATGTGTCAAACCATTCGGTGCGAATGGGTAGCAATGCAATGGTGCGAATGGTTGCAATGCGAACGAATGCGAAAGAATGGTAACATTCGTCAAGTCCGTTCTTGGCTTTAGATTCTATACCTATAGAATTGGGCAACTTACCTTTTCTGCAACTTCTCTGACAGACGCAACTGAAGTACCATACAAATTGTCATTATATTGTCCGGCTTCTATAAATAGATGATTCTGGATATCTTTCTCCATTTGTTCTCTGGACGCTACGAAATGGTAGTCTCTACCGTCCACTTCGTATTCTCTTTTTGGTCTTGTAGTATCTAAAAATGATTAATTAATTTTAATACATGAATGATATGTTTCCGTGTTGAATACTGTAATGTTTCTACAGTATGTCCCTGGATTGTCTTTACAAGAGCAAAAACTTTTTTATTTATTACATTGTGAGAAAAATTTTTCATAAAAATTTTTGCTTGTTCTAAAATGATTCATTCCGTTTATACTTTTCAAAATTTCCATACCGTTGTCATTAAAATATAGTTTTTTCCAAGTCCTAAAAATCAAAACGCGTTTCTATGGTAATATAGTTTCGATTTCATTCTTTGATAACCCTGATAGACATAGATAATATACTATTTTGATAGAATTTTTAATTAACGTCATATTTTTTGCTGTTTTAAATGCTAAAGAAGCACAAAATTTATTTAGTTCAATGCTACGGAAAGGGCGATAATAGTTATTGGAACATGTGGTACTTTAACAACAGCAAAAATATGAAGTTAATCAGAATGAATAATAACGATCTAAAATATAAAAGAATTAGCGTTTTGATTTTTAGGACTTTTTGAGACTCAGAAAAAAATCAACTATATTTTCATGCTTTTTTTTAATTTTCTCTATAACGGTATGGAAATTTGAAAAAGAATAAACGGTTAGAAGAATACATTTTTCTCAAAATGTCAACAATAAAAAAGCTTTTCTTGTTGTAAAGACAACAATTCAGGGGGAACATACTGTATATCTCTAAATAATAAGAGATAGAAATACCAGTTGAATTAGGAGACTAAGCTAGAGTAAACGCCACGAATGTTTGGGAGTGATTCATCGCTTGATGAAGTTAGAATCGACACGCACGCTATCATTTTTACATTAAAAACGTAATTTTTTACCGCAGACGTAGGTTTTTAAAGCCCGGTCTAATCATCTGCCTGCGCTCCTCCTACTTATTCTAAAATGTTAGCGTGATTGACAAAGACGATAATATATCGCGTTTCTTTGATTGATTCGTTTTTGTGCGTCAGTCCATTGGGGTGCTTGCAGTGCGACCAATGGGGCATTCCATTTTATATTTATAACCAAATTATGTTTTGACAAGACTTTGACAGTTAAAACAACAAATTACAACAGATTATATATTGATTATTATATGACTTGAAACACCACGGCACTGGGATTAAGTTTTATGTGACCTTGAACAGATTAGTTCACATGGTAGCGACCGATGAATCACTCCCAAAAATTCGTGGCGTTTACTATATCAAGAATGATCGAAATAGTTGGCAATATTGTGTTAGTGGATTTTACTTTGAATAAAAAGATTATTAGGCTTAGCTATTGTAGGCGTGTAGTAGACGTCAATTTGTAACATTTCCTTTTATCATTTTAAACTTTAGGTACTGCTATCAATATATGTAATATTAATTTAACCACAAGGTTTAGAATAGCCTGTAAAAAGGTAAGAGGATTTTACTGATACTTACGAGGAACACAACTGCCAAACTTCTCGGGAAACTCCGAAATTAAATCGTCATTTATCCGATCCTTGAGAGGTCCCAAAATAATGACGGGTCTAGTGTACTGTATCTGGATCTGTTGTACCGGCTCGTAAGACAATACACATTCCTCGTTGCCTGAAATAAAACAGTGATAAGCCACGATCGTACTATGTCCCAGCTATCGCCCTTCCTCAAGTTAGCTTTTCTAAAAGCCAAAACGGCATCTCTAAGTCGTAAAAGTAGTCTACTGTTCTTAAAATATCTCTAATTGGAAAAATAATAAAAACTGTCATGTAACACAACACGAAGGATTAAAAAATAAATAATCGTACAAGTCGTCTATAAAAGAAGCCACAAGAATCCAACTGTCAATAAGAGAGAGACAAACATGGGAAGATAACAGAGAAGTAGAAAGAGAGAGAGAGAGTAAAAAGAGATGACGTCACAAAACAAAACAAATTAAATTGCAAATTTGCAAATTAAAGATAAAGTGAAAATTGTATTAGTCAAAAATAAGATTTAAAATACTACTAAGGCTGTCAGTCATTCACCATAGATTATTATGAAGCAGTGTGAACTAGTAAATCTGCATAAAATAATGTATTACTTTTTTATACTTGTAACATAAATAGTTATTGTTTATACAAGACGATAAAATGGTATTTTATAATGCAATTTTATCGTCGTGTATAAAACAACATTTTTTTCCATAGCGAGTTACGTTTTAAAAAATATTCAGAAATTATTATTTCAAGGAATCTATTACGAGTAGAAAAAATATTGTGCTGGGTTGGCGTTGGTTTCTATGTAATTTGACAAATAAATAAAGCTGTCTCTTTAGTTGTCAGTTTTGAGTCGATATTTTTTAATTCTCTTTCGTGTCGATTGCTGATTGAATTGGAGCCAGAAATGGCTCAAAACGAAATAAGTAAATTACCAACAGATATTCAGACTGAGGCGACAAACGCGATATCCAAACTACTTTCATTTAAATCCCGAATAACTTATGAAAAGGAATACAAAAATTTTCAAAAATGGAAGCAATTAAAAAACGTGCAAAAAGAAATAAAGTTTTTAACCTATCCTCGCTGCTGTATCATTTAATCTACCCTTGCGGTTAAAGTACTATTTTATCTACTATTTTTGATAGATATAAGGCAATTTTAACAGTTGCTATGGAAAAAAATTAGGAAATAGATTTGTTTGTCCAGAAACATTCTATAATTAGTGTTTATTTACACATTCTATTATTGTGTGTTTTATGTCAATTTTTAATACATGACGTCTAGATCGAGATTAACCTTGCCAAAATTATCATCGATTGTCATTCCCCAGCCGTCTTTGACGCCGTCTTTTTTCGATCATACGGTATTTGATGTGATTATGAATGTCACACAAATAAAACTTTTGACACTTTATCGATCGTTATCAAAGGAGTGACTTTTTTAAGCAACTAGTGAATCATTTATCTTATGAAATCAAAACTCTTTCAAAACGTCAAGGGATTATGATATGTTTTAAAATTTATATAAATAAAAATGCTGAAAATTATTAGAACCATTGATTGTTGCATATTTTAATTATGATCTGACTGACAGCCAACTAAGTTGAGCTAAGTTATCTAGAATGTATCTAAATGCAGTAAAAAAAAGACAATGTCTCTAGAAACAAACCAATGGGAACTCTATTTATAATAATGTATGCAGTTTAAAACATTCTTCTTCTACGTTAAGTGATCCTATATCAGGTTCTAAATTTCGCAATGACAATTCGAGACTTCTACCAAAAAATCGTTGAATTTGATGAATAATCCACAATCCGGCAATAGCGTATAAGTGATAAAACACTAAAAAATAAATATCATGAAAATTCAACGCTTTTATTGAATATATATTTGTTCATCAAAATTGGTTATGTAAGGGCTCGAACTCACTGACGACCAGGGTCGCAACGACCTGGCCGTCGGCTGGCCGGATGTATTGCGTTTTTAGCTGCGGCCAGATGAACGACCAGTTTCAACAGAGTTGTCAAATCTAACGATTTTTTAAGTTTTACCAATTAGAAAATATTGTTTCAGAAATGTTAAAATATCTGAGTTAACTAAAAAGCGAAGTTGCTATTCACAACAAACAAAAAGCATTGTGTACGCGCGACCGACAAAAAGGGAGATATTCTGTTTCTTTTTTCTACTGATATGGCGCTGTTTGAAAAACGTTAAATTAAATATAATATTTAAAATACAGTTGTCCTCCTTGTACATGACTACAATACAACTAAAAAAACTAATTTAATAAAAAAAAAACAAGTGGTTGTAGAAAAACTTTAAATATTATTTTTCTTATTTTTTAACATCGAAACTCAAAGGTATAATAACAGGTATCATACCAACCATAAATAGAGTAGGTATGTCATATAAAAATGTTTTGAGTTTTTACTAGAATCGACCCTTGGTAAAAAAAAGGGATTAGATTTAAGTTTACCTTTGATCCAGTCTGTATACTATTTCTTTGGATTTTCTGAACGTGGGCAAAAACTACACTAAAACACTATATCTTATAGAAAATAAAATATTGTGCCTTGAATTTGAGGGATTTCATCTGAATATTAATTTGGAAGAAAACCGGCAACAAGCGGCAGAAAATAATAATATTTCCGTGCAGTCTTCTGGTCGCAACGACCAACGGACGGCCAGGACGTTAGTGTGCGCTATATCATTTAGGTAGCTGCGGCCTGGCCGGTGCAACCTGGTCGTCAGTGTGTTCGAGCCCTAACCAAGAAATATCCAAAAAATAAAAATAAATCACTATGTCGATGTTGCCGGATTGTGCTTGTTTTCTCTAAATACGAGGAAAGAGAATGAATAAAAATTATATGAAAAAAATTGATAGAAAGTATAATAAATTAAACAATTGTAGGTATATTTTATTCAAAGAATATAGTTTCTTATCCCTCGTATTCTGGAACTATATAAACAAGTCTAGTGACAGTTCAATGACGTGAATAGTTCTGTGTTCGTACATACTCCGTAAAATATACAATTCTCGGCGACCATGAATAATGAATTGTATGTTGCTAACTTGATTAAATAATAATAACAGAACATAAAATAACAATAACAAAAACAAAACAGCAAACAAAAATTACCAAATAATAAAAAAACTTCGCTACTTTTTTTCAGTAGATATATTTTTAAGTAGCTTTATTTATAAACTCAGATTTTGGCAGATTATTTAACTGTTAACAGTGTGTGTAACAGTTCTTGGGGTATAAAACAATGTGCCAAAAAGTTTAGTTGTTAGTAAAATTTATTTAGTATACGACATCAATATTTGTTTGTTATTTAGTCGTGGAGTGCTTGTTTTATTATTTTCTTTTTCGTATAACAATTTTAATGCCTAAGACATGCACTCCACTGATGCACAGCGTTACAACTGGTTTTACAAACCACTTCCCGGTAGACATTTTTAATAATGTCTGTCAAAAACGAAAAAATAAATAAAAATGAAGGTAGGCACCTTCAAGCCAACGAAAATAACCATGGTTAGATGTGAGTTAGTATGACAATGTTCAGCTAAAATAGGGATGTAGAAAATATATCGATATTCCAAGTTATTGATTTTAAAAATATATCGATAGTTTTTACCAATACTTTTTCTATTCAATGATATATTTTTTTCATATTAAAAAATCACTGAATGTAAAAAACATACTATTTTTAAGATCTGATGGATAATTTTTGAGTTTGTATCAAATTTAATATCGACATATTTTTATAAAATATCGATATCTTTTGTAAAATACGAACATCCCTAAGCGAAAAGACAAAGAGATAAAAATGAATTTGACGCGACTCAAATATCTAGTGCAAATCTCCGAAAAAAAATGAAATAAAAATAAAAAAAGGGTCTAGGTAAAGGAACGCGCCAAAAAAAGTGTCCGCCATGCATATCACAACACTAAAACTTACTAAATTCGTCTATATTGTCATTATTCTCCAGATATATTAGCGTTATCTCTTCCATGTAAGGGAGCTCAACACGATATAATATTTCACCTGTACTAGGAAACACAGAAAGAAGCCAAAAAAGAAAAAAATATATATAGTAAATGAAAACACCTCGGTCTGATGCAATTGTCGCAGTCGGACAAAATGAGCAAAAAGAGAGACAAATTTAAATGTGGACGGAAAATAAAACTTATACTGTACCTTCATTGCTGGCGTCTTCTTGGGTGTAGCAAAGCATGAACGCTGAAAAAGAAATCGCAATTCTATCAAACTGTATAAGAATTATTTTACAGGTTAACCGTTCAGTCAATACCTCCTAAAATACTAAAGCCTCAGTTGGATCAATGGATCTTTGCGTGCACGTCACAAAACTATGATTAACATCAAATCAATTCACTCTTTCTAACTTAAGCAAGACAATTCGAAGAAACACTGAACGTATGCCTTCATAATTATCCGATATACGGTCGGAGCTAAAGTTATGTGTAAGACAAGGAAAACCCCTAGCCAAGGATCACTCAAGTTTCTTTTCTAAACATTTAAAGTCAATGCCGGCCTTTGAATAAGAAGACTAAGGAAGGAGCATAATGCTATCCATGTATTCGTGCATGGTGGGCGGAAAAAGCACTCTAGGGTGGGGATCCTTGACAGTTCTGTTTGACGATTCATTTGACACATTTGAATTTGATTTGAAATTTTGTGGATTTGTCAGTCTTTACGGAGCTTATTTTATGTTATTTATTATTTATTCTACTACTGATAGTTGTATAAAGGTAGTAAATCTATATGGAAATTGTGGCAGAACTTAAATTAACAGTGACACTATCGCGATTTATCGAAAAAGACTTTAAAATAGTTTGGTTGTGTAGCGTGCGGTAGATCTCGGCAAAAATTGAGTGAAATAATGGAACAACTTTTCGCTAGTAAGTTACTATATAATATACATAAGTGTAGTAAACCGATCATTTATGAAATTCACTTAAATTAACTAAATTATATATTTTTCTTGCATTTTAGCTTTTATTTATTACTTGTCAAAGATTAGATGTCAAAGAATTTAGATACGTTAATTTGATTTACCTGCTTCAGTAGCGTATGTTTGTGTTAATAAATAATACTTATTATAACTTATCTATTTTTATTAGAATTATATATTTTTATAACAATTTTAATAACTACCAACATTTATTCACAACGTAAAATAAAACAACAAATTATTGAGTCTACCCCACGTCTACCTTACATCATAGTTTTACATTTTTTAAATAAAATTAGAACGACACTGATAAACCGGAATTTAAGTCGGCCATATTTGAGGCCCATCGCGGTGTACCTAAGATTTTTGATATGCTCCTTCCTTAGTCTTCTTATTCAAAGATGCCGGCGAACGCAAAAATAAATCGATTATTTATTTTCGGGTTCTCGTTTTAAAAGAAATGTACTAAATTTAGTATATTTTTTTTTAATAAAGGTACACTGGGTGTTCACTTCATACTAACTTCATTTGCATTGTAATTTCTTGTTTTTATTTTATAAGGGATCCAAGAACTAAGAACTACATCCTACTAAAAAAAGACAGCTTTTCCTTTATGATTTCCTAAAAAAAGTAACTTGTACTACAATTTAGTACATTTTGAAACGTGCGTACATCTGTAAAACCCTGGCAGCATCCATACATGACATTTTTGTCATTCGGTGTTTATGTTTATGATTTTGTCATTTTGCAAAAAGTTAGGGAAAGTTGTTTTTGGTTGTTTTGTACCTTTATTTTCCTTGTACATCGTTTATTGCCACTAGCTTTTGTGAAAACTTTTTGTGATTCAATCAATTTTTGAACAACAGTTCTTTCCAAAATTTATTTTTCGTGATTCGTTAATATAATTCAACATTAACATGCCAGGAAAACGTTTAAATTCTCAAGCACGTATCCTTGTTGGAAATCTTATCTCTTATTTTACGTCTGAAAAAGAGAATAAGGGACCACTAATTTCCCTGAATGCTGTCCAAGAGGTAAATATATATTTTGATTTATAAAAATACAAGTGCCTAACTAATAAATTTACAGAGAGTCGCTGATGCCTTGAAGATCAGTTTAAGAACGGTTTCAAGCATTAAAATTGAGCTACCCTCAACACCGGGAAAGAACAGACCTCGAAAAAAATATAAAACTCAAGACTTGAATGAAGGTTTGAAGATGGAGGTTCGCAACTTATTTTACTGAACTATTTTATTAAATTTTTATTTTCAGAGAAACAAGTTACAATTAATAAACTAAACGAGGAGTTGCGTTGAAGAGAAATTGTTGACATAAGTTATTATACATTTTTCAAATTTTTTAATTTAAATACTATCCATGCTACTTTTTAAACAAAAAATTGTACTCATCCAAGTTACTTGTAAAATTAATAAATTATTTTTCATTTTCATTAAATTTATTATTCGTTGAAGGTATTATTTAATAAAATATTTAGATTTTTGTTTTAACCTACTTGTATAATACTAATTTGGGTAAAATCTTGTAAAGTTAGATATCTAATACTGTATAGAACTTGATTTCAATATATTAGTTAACTCAATATTTCGATCACCAGTTATTGTCCTCTTGTAACAACTATCCTATTGAATTATACTGTATAGGCATAATATTGTTCTGTATTTTCCCCTTTTTTGTGACCTTTTTCCATAAATAATTATATATTCTAATTTAAAAACGTCCAAAAAGTTTACAAACATTTTGGAAAATAAATTATATTATTTCTTTTAAGAATGAAATAAAACGCCGCTGGCACTGGTGGTAGTTTGACGACTGATTGATTCGTAGGACGTTAGGTGACATCAAATTATGACATGCACGCAAAGATCCATTGATCCAACCGTACAAAGAAAGAACGTGATAACTACTAGCCGTCCATGGAAATAACAAGTGTAATATCTACTAGTGATGACGTCAGAAGCACGGAGGCCTTAATTTTTACGGAGGTACTAGTTGTGTTGGGTCTCCCAAAAAAGTTGGTGATATTATAAAATTTACAGAAACATAACCTACAATATCACAGGGTATTATATATGTTATATAATCGTATAATAATATAAACGTATTTTTTGCACTATATTTGATATATAAAAGTTACTTTAAAATACACGAATTAATTGTCAATGATACCCTAGTTATTTCGAAGGCATAATATATGGTAAAGTCTGTCCAATCAGTCATGAAAGATATTGACTTCTTGACAGAAGAAATTTGAAAAAAAAAGACACAAAACAACTGTCACTGTTGTGTACTCTTGTTGGACACAGACTTTACTTAAAATCAATTAATTTTGCATAAACTAGAAACAAAGGCATCTCTGATTTGAAGCAAGCAGAATGGTTTTAGCAAAGGGTCTGTGTATATTGGGAAATAAACAAGCTATTCTAGGATTCTAAGCAAAAAATGTTAAAAAGAAAAAAATATACTTACTAGAAGATGTTTTTTCGTTGCCATTAGATTGCTTGTCAGAATAAGGTGCTTCTAAAGGTAAAATAAAATAAAAATAAAAAATAAAATCTAATTAAAAAAGCTTTAGATTTTTAGGAATATTTTGTAGAAAAAATAAAAAAAAGAGAATCAACTGAAAACAGAAGGAATTCTATGAACATTGACAACATAAATAAATAATAGTTGATTTCTGTTAACAGAAAATTGAAGGAATTAGGGAAAACTTACGTTCTTGGTCAGAACCATCCTCGGATTTTTCATCTTTGCTTTTCATGAATGGGAATTTTCTACTGAATGAGAAGTTTTTCTTTTTCCTATCTAATGTAGATTGCTAAAAAGAAAGAATTAAGTATTTAAATAATTGTACTAGCACTTCAAAAAATTGATTTGGTTAAATATAAATAATAAATAAGACTAATATACATGTGACTTTTTTTGTTTGTACATAAGTTATATTGATAAATACAATATAATAATAAATGAAGGAAGTTTCTTGACGTTTAAACGTGAGAAATAGTTCTTTTTTATAGATTTGTTGTATGTAGTGTTTTGTTTAAGGCGGCCCATACATTATCAAACAAGTTGCGCAACAAAACGTTGCGTTGCACAAATGCATTACCCATGCACTTGGTAAGATTTTGATCAAACTTTTTATTAAAAGTGGTGCATTGTTCGAGAAACAATCATGTCCTGAATTCCCATTGCGTCAATTATTATCATACATACCCTAGATGATGTCGATGATACCAAAAAACGAAAAAGAAACCACATAATTTGGATGAAAGAACTAAAATATTGCACAACGAAGCTCAACACACACAAACACTACACAACTCGTTGCGCAACAGCCTGTGTTGCGCAATTTGTTTGATAATGTATGGGCCGCTTAACAGACACCTTTGTTTTGTAATATCACAAATTTTTTTTCATAATATTTTGAAGTAATCATTTGTCACTACAATTTTAAAAATATATAATTTCACGCTTATATAAAATAAACTACTTTGAAAAACAAATGACAAGACACATCTACCACTGTCAAGGATTTTGCCACTGGACAGACTATGGACTGAAACAGACTCATTTGAATAGTAAATGAACCCGCTATAACAGTTTCAAAGTGATATGGGTATTGAAGAGGTTTAAAAGAAAAAAATAGCTTCAAAAACGTTGTGGTTTCTTTTTAGAAGTATTCTCAACATACCCAATACGTTTCATGGTTTAACCACATTTTCAAATTGTCTTACCTTTTCGAGTATGTTAGGCGAATGACCTTGAAATTTGACAGACCTATCTCTTGCCCTCTGTTTCCTCTCCCATCGCCTCTTGCTGGGCACTATGCCCATCCCTTGTTCGTCACCCGTCGGAAGTACTCTTCTGGCTTGCCACCATTCGTCATCACTGGCGTTGGTGACGTGGAGAATGTCGCCATATTGGAAGGCCAATCCCCGAGATGGCAGACCGTCGTCCTTCATCGGATCATAGTCAAAGAGAGCTCTAGAAAATTTATAAATCGTTATTTAAATAAAAAAACTTATTTTTAGTATAAATTAGTAGTATTTTCTGTAAAACATGTAATCAAAATTGAATAGAGATGATTTCATAATAGATATTCGGATATAATGTCCCCCACCTCTTATCTTAGCCTATCTATCTTATCTGCTGAGATAGTAAAGGACGATAAGTTTCAAGAAATCATGTTTTAATGCATGTGAAGCTTAAAAAGACCGATCAAAAATGATTTAAATAATTAATAGGTTATTTTGTTCGTATTGTTGCGGAAACGTGTGGACTCGACCTAACCTAACTATATGTCCCGCCCCCAGATGACCTTAATATCCCATTAAAGAATAGACACCGTAATGATTCATTCGAACGTTCGAGAAGAATCGAGTTCCACTGGAATGGAGTAGTACATACGAAAACATTCGAAACCTTCTCTATGCACCTAATGATCTATGCATTATTCGAGAAATATTTAGCTGTGGGTATAAAATCCGACGGTTGAAGAGGACAGAAATAAATAGACGAGTACAGTTATCGCGCTAAATTCAAAATAAATTCTTTCTAGATAAATAGTTATAAATAGCTTGTATATAGTTCTTTAAGTCTGTTTTAATCGTTATTGTTTGTTACTTAGTGTAAATAAATTGTGTTTAAATAAATCGTGGTTTTCTATCCACACGGAACCGAAGAAAAACGTAACAGTATGGTTGGCAATACATTTAAGACATTCGAATAATTATCTTCTGTTATCACTAGTGTCAAAACAAACCAAAAATTAAGTAATATGATTAATTTTTTGACAATATTTAAATTCGTTTTCCATAATAATGTGAGCTTATTCAAAACATTATGCAAACAACAATTTTATTCAATAAAAAATAAAGCAGAATCTGCTGGCGGAAGGAATTGATATATTACTAGTAATTTTTTTTGCGAGGAACATTGTTTGTTGGCCGGAAGGGATTGTTTGAAGGATATCCAAATAGGATTTTTTTAACAAGCGTTCCATTGAAAAACTACTTTTCCTATTTCGCAACGCTGATAATGGATGGGATATGAAAAACCTATTAGGCAGAAACCTGTCGTTGGAAAAAAGGAAAATAACTTGTCTTAATTGGTTCTTTTATAGAAAACCCAATATATCTACAAGTTATCATAATATAAATCAAAGGACTAATTATCCGTTTTTCTTGATAAAATAATAAATACTTACTTATTAGATTATTGTAGGTAAAAAGTCCATAAACTAATGTCGATTTTGAAAATAGCTACTTAACTGGCACTAGAAAATTGCCATGGCGACACTAGCCATCTTGATTGGCATTTTATTGAAAAATCTCTTTTTATTCAAAATCTGAGCCAGATAGGTATAGGAAACCCTAATACAGTTTGAAAGAGCATTTAAAGCTGATTCGACATATTTAAAAAAAGACATAGTGTTGTATTTGAAATAACGAAGTTTTTATGTAAAATAAATATTTAAAATAGACCAGCAATTTTTGATACCCCTGTATGCATTGAAAGAAGCAATCAAATTGTTTAGTAAAATTTATTTCTCTGGCTTAAAAGTTAGCACAAGAATTAATTCTGAAATGTAATGTACAGGGTGTTGACAACCTTTTTTATTATAACATGCATATTTGAATATCTTTAAATATCTTAAAAATCAAAGCTTTTAAACATATTAAATCCTTATAATAAACGCCTTATTTTATGTCGAAGAATCCAAAAATTAAATAAAATACCGAGTGTTCCATAAAAAATTATAACTTTGGTATGGATCTTAGTTCTGACATACTCTGTACATTTTAAAATTATTTTAAATTATGCACATGGCCTCTCCACATATACCCATAATTTTTTTTGTTTCTACATCTTTCCGTTTTCGTATAATCAACCGAGGCGAATGAGGTGCGCCACCCTGAATATGTTAACGTTCAAATTAACTGCTAATTTAATTTTAATCATTATTACTAATTGATGTTTAATTTAACTAATCAACTAATGAACATTAAACTATACAATTTAACTGGTAGATTGCTTCGGCATTCTTGCCTATTCTCGTCTATAAAGAGATTATAAATAGAATTTCATGTGAAAGGCAAAATTTAGAATTGTTTATTTAGACTGTATGTGGTAATTAAGGCAACAGATGCGGCTTACTTCTATTCTTTCCCGCCTTAAATTAACCAGAAGCTGGATTTTAGGTTGTACAAACAAATTAATATGATTGTAAAATGCTTTTATTACGTGGGATAGATAAAGAACTCTTTTAGTTTTAGTTAGAAGTCTAATATTGAAATAATTTTTGTTGCTTTTTTATCTTCTTAAAAATTTACAAATTTCGATTTTGGTATTCAATACAACTATAGTGTTCAACAAGGAAAAGTAATACTTACATAGTTACAGCGTATTTTCATCCTGGCGTTCAAAACAAGGTTAGAAATTGAACGTAATCGAAGTAACTTTTAGACAATAGAGAATCACAATTTTGAGCACTTGACACGTAATACTTTGACGATTATTTGTAAATACTGTGAATCGGGAAGTAACAAACTATGGAACAATATAAGTCCATATAAAAGTACAATTTGCCTTAAATTTATACTTCATACTTTTTTTACTTTTCTTCTTCTTTTTTTTCTTTTCCCTTGAACTTTTTTTTTCAATTTCAAGATTTAATTACGTCTCGTGATACTTTATTTGTTTATTTCTTACCGAGTCCTAATTTTCCCTATAGCTTGTAAATTTTTAAGTGCAAGTTAGAAACACTTGCAGTTTTGGTAAAAATAAGTGGAACTGAGTTGGTGTTCGACAGTGGTCGCGCTATTAGAACTCTGAATTGAAAAACCGATATCCCGAAATCCATTAGAAACAATAATTGATTGTAGTTTTTTTCAAAAAATTTCTGCTATATTTTCTTCGCAGACTGTATATCTATCTTTATAAATAAAAAAGTTATATGATTGCTGAAAATTGCTATGCACTAAAAGTAAATGGATTTTTTTTTAAATTTTTGTATAAAAAAGGCCTATCGAATTTTGTTATCTAAACATCTTGTAAAAGATCCGAACTTCAAAATAAAAAAGTTTCAATATCTAAAGTGGTTCTTAAGTTATGGCGCGTTATGTGTTAAAAAGTTGAGTTTTTAAATTATCGCGATTACTGACGTTTTCTGGTTATAAAAAAATGGACACCCTAACGAATTCCGTTTCAGATGCTCAGAAACATATCTAATGATTTTATCTATATAGTTTTATATAATTAATAATATCTAATTATTAATAAATTATCTAGTTATCTATAATTAATTTTCGAAAAAAGTCTTTTAAAAATAAGCGGTTTGGGATCGTGAGTTTACTTTACTTGATAGGGAAAAGCGTACGGGAGAAATGTGGCAACGCCGCAACAGCACACCGTCGCATTTCTCTCACTCCCACTTAATAAGATCCCTATGCCATTTACTTCCACACTTGTAAATACCGACCCAAAAGTAAGAGTTGCCAGCACGGTATATTTTTAATACATATTCAATAATTAAGAAAACTTTCAAGTTAAATCCATTTACTTCTCATCTCGTTTTCATGAGTCTTATGTAAAACAAATTTAAATATAATCAAAAAATTAATATTATTTAACTTTTGGTTTGTTTTGACGCTAGTGATAACAGTTGAAAAACAATTTAATTTCTTAAATTTATATCTAACCCAATGAGTAAAATCAGAACAGCCAACTATTTCGGTCATTGTTGATCGCTCCGTATATTTTATCTTTTAAAACCAGTTTACCTTTAAAAAACAATAATACAAGTAATATTGTAGTACGTGCGATATTTTTCTAAAATTTTCATAATAATGAATAAGAATAATCTTATTTTATATTTTTTTTCAGTGACGTCTTTCATTGTCACGTGATTTAGACATACCTGACGTATAGCGACCTCTTCTGTGAGGTCCTCAGCAGCGTACCCCCCGTCACGGGGTAGGGCATTTGTTGTTTCAGATCATTTATCTTAGCTTCGAATCTGTTGTACTCCTCAGGTCTGTACTGCACACATATTGTCACCGTCTGACTCGTACCCTAAATATTACATTACGTATTAATACCACATAAATTAATAATATGAAAAAATACTATCTACATATCTACCATTACTATTTTAATCCTCTATAGCTGAGTGCAGCGGGGTTATACTCCAAGAAATCATTTTAAAGAAATACTAGTTATGCTGTGTTACATTTAAACAATAGTTTTTAGGTTATTTGATAAAAAAACTGGTCAAAAGCATTACACCTTTTTTTTAAATAAATTACTAATGTATAATTAATTTATGTCGAATATGCTGGTTGACTGTTGTGTGCAAACAAGAAAAATCATTCACTACTAACTAATTAACAGTCGAACTAAAACAAACAGGATTTAACAACTCGTGTTATTAGTTTACAGTAGTTTGGAAATCGTGTTAATATTTGAAAATGGGAGATGGATTTGCTAATTTGAACGGACGTTGAAATGTAGTGAATCAACTGTGAATTTTAAAGAAAAATTCTAATCTAGAACTAAAGAAAAGTACAAAGAATTCAGGGTATGTTAAAAAGTTCGCGACGAATGCTCAAATTTTTTATTATTGAGATTTTACTAAAAGTTTATGCAATTTCTCCATTATATCCGATATAACCCTACATTATGTATATATTAGTTGCGAACTTTTTATCACCCACTGAAGATACAGGGATATTCACGGCAACTGTGCTATTAGACATTTAAAGAGAATTTCTTATAGTAAAATAGACCAAGCGGTGTTGCCAGTTCTACTCGTAGTAGTACTTTTTTAACAGAACACCCTAAATATTGTTGCATTCTAGGATTCAGGTTGGAATTCTAGACATGCTCGGTATGACATTTTATATCTATCCGTAATATTTTTTTTATCTGATCATGTTAATTACTAATAATTAATTAATAGGAGTTATTCTAATTAAATATGATCATCTATATTACCAAGTACATATGAGTTTTTCTTGTATATGATGCCAGGCGCCAAACATTTTATTATTTAGTATGTTCAGTATTCCATTCCAAAAAAAAACATTCCTGGCTAAGAAACAACATTCTTCTCATCAAGAAAACAACATTCCTAGCTAAGAAACATACGGGATCGGTGTAACATCAGCGACGCAGCCACCATATTTCGAAGAGCCGAGAACGGCACTCTACACATTGTATGAAAAGTACAGACAATCGCCAACGTGCGGCTAAGCACAAAGCACAGGAAGAAGAAGTATTCCATGATGAAATACTGAGGGACCTACGAATGTTCTACCAGCGAAGAGCTGCCGTTCGCAGGGTGTAAGAGTAAAAAAAAACGTTAGATAATTATTTTTGGCGCCCAACGTGGGATAAACGACAATTTTCACTTTTTGGCATATCCACTGCAGAATCATACATGCGACTCTTCTTGCATACATACATATGACTCTTCTTAGAGCATTTTTATAAGCTATCTAACGAGATTACATACTTGTTAATTTAACCTGAGGTTAAAGTTAATCAAAATCCTTAATCTGAAGTTGTGTCAATCGATAGCTTAAGAAAAACTATGATAGAAAGACACACATCTTTTTTATATGTTCAGTATTCCCTGATGAAATACTGAGAGACCTACGAATGTTCTACCAACGAAGAGATGCCGTTCGCAGGGTGTAAGAGTAAAAAAAAACATTAGATACTTATTTTTGGCGCCCAACGTGGGACAAACGACAATTTTCCCTTTTTGGCATACTGCAGAATTATACATACGACTCTTCTTGCATACATACACATGACTCTTCTTAGGTAAAATGCCGTATGCCCCCAGATTATTACAGAACATGGGTCCTAAAAAATATCTGTCATTATTGTCACGAAATTAACTACCGAAAAAAGGCTGTTTTTTCTGGTTCGTTTGTTAATTAATTGTCATTCAATCTCTTTTTTCTGACGAGTTGAAAATCTCATTTACCAAGTTTAAATAATTCTACATAATTGTCTATTAGGACACATATCGTGAATAACCCTATATGTTTAATCGAAAAACTGAAACTATAAAAGATGATCTGTAAGTAAAATACTGGTTCATGATGATGTGATGCCTACAAATAGAAATTCTACAGAATCGTTTCTAGAAGGAGGGCGGCCTAACTAAAACATAAAGAGGTCTATAAAAGGTGACTGGTTCGTCATGTACATACACTTACTTTGAGCGCCTGCGCCGCCTCTTCGTGCGTGGCGTTCCTCAAATTCACCCCGTTCACGCTGATGATCTGATCGCCTCTCTTCAGCTCACCGCTGAGATCGGCCGGGCCACCGGCTAGGATGAAGGAGATGAAGATACCCTCGTCATCCTCGCCGCCTACGATGTTGAAGCCGAGGCCTGTGTTGCCTTTGTGTAGCGTCACTGTTCGGAGTTCTCTGAAAATTGAGTAAAAAAGAGCGAAATTAGTGAAGGTGTTGGTGGATGCAGGAAAGTTGGGGTTTGGGGTGGGTTAATCAGCGATCAAAGTGTTTAAAACGGTCATGGTCATGATAGAGAGGGAGATCAGAGACCTACTACCTATCTAATCATTCACGATTCGCTTATCATCATCTTGAAATTATTTATAACAGAATAAAGTTGATATACGGTAATCGCAAAACATTTTCCGATGCACATCATCAATCATATCGACATTGACACTAAAGCCTATAAACCTGACTGAATTAAATTTTGGCAAAAATGTTTAAATTTGTTATATAATTTAAGATACCGAGCAGTTCTTCATTTTACTTTATAGAGCAAATGATTGTAACAGATATTTTATTTAGATTAAAGCTGCAAAAATTAGTTTAAACCGAATTTTATTATCGCTATGTTGGTCATATTGCGCTGCGATCAGCAACGTTGTCGTTTATTATTTGACAATTATCGTAATGTCAGTCATTATTTTGTATAATATCGTGTTGTTGAATCTTTGGGAGCAATTCTCGTTTTTTTTTGCTGATTTTTATAGTCTTTCTTTTTAAACTGTACTTTTAAGCACAAACAGTTCTTTTAAGAATTACATTTTTGTATTGCATTTCTTGAAAATTGCGCGTTAAAAATATACCGAAGCATTTAAACAGTCGAAGCAAAGAGCTTGTAGACTTCCTGATGAACTATTTTAAACGAAAACGTGACAATAAAGGTCCTTTAAAACCCTTGACTATAGCCAGAGAAGTAAGTTTGATTGATAAGCATATTACACCACTTTCTAAGATATTTCTACTTATTTCGATTTTTTTGGCGAGTAGCTGCTGCCTCAAATTTAAATATTTCTACTGTGAGTGTTTTTGACTACTGTTAATAAATTAATTAATTACTAAAATATTAATTATTAAATTAAAAATAAAACGGAAAAATCTTTAAAAAATTATATAATAAATATATTGTTTCCAAAAATTAAGATTCATCTCATAAATTCATCACAATCTGGCAGCGCTGTCGCCATCGCTTGTCACACAAAGTTGATCACGTGCATCGGAAATTGTTTTGCGATTACTTTATGTGGATATGCTGTGTTTATGTTATGTTTACTAACACAAAATGCTTCTATATTAGCTGTGTTTTTGTGTCATTCTTTATGAGTCTATTCAAGATGCAAAATTAATAAATTACTTATTTTTGTATTCAAGTGCTACTAAATTTTTAAAGATTTCGGTATACTACATATATGGGGCTTTCAACAGTAATAATAGGATAAAAAAATATCATTAGACGACTTTGACAAAAATTTACTGTAGAAAGAGCCTGTTGCAATATAAACCGCGAACATCTGGAAAACCGTTAAACATTTTAAATACAAAAAATGTTCAGTTTTTAATTCTTTCTATTGGAAATTAATAAATAGGGTGTTGCATTTAAAAATATTGAGATATAGCATTTTAAATATTGCTATGTTGGCCACGGCATAAAAACACATCGTTTCCTTCACGGATTTATTTTTATATTTGTTTTTTATATAAAAATATACATAATAAAGTTAAATTCACTCCAGGTTTTAACCACTTTTCTGATATACTAAACTACGATTTTTCACCAAACTTTCAGTAAATAAGAAATATCATGGCGACACCGCATAGGGCTTCAAATAAAATTAGTGAACTATATAGCAGAATTTTATTCTGGATCTAATTCTGTATTGTATTGTATTGAAATATAAGCAAAAAATAACTTAGAACTTTAGTACGTGTCCTAAAAAAATATTTTTTTAAAATAATTTTTTTTTATTTCTTAATAATAATTTATTAAGCAAAGAGGTGAAACAATGAAGTCAAGTATTGCAGACCATGTGTGGTCCAAGCATCACAACTTAAAGTGGTCAGAAGCTCTTGTTCTCTCCAAGGAACCTCTTTGCAAAACAAATTTAAAGAAGTCGTTTTTATATCCAAACAATAATAACATTTTTGGCAATCCAAGTATGGAAATTTACACAATAAAACGGCCACTTGGATGACCAGACCTCTGTAAGTATAAAAAATCATAAAAATGTTCTTTTTAATCACAGAATGTGCCAATAAAAAAAGTATCTATGTTAATTTGGAATACTAATCAAAAATAATATATCGATTATGTACAGATAATCTAATAAATACAAATAAAATAAAAAACAATTTAGGTGAGTTTTTTGTTTAATGATGTATTTTCTCACGCACTTAATGTTCATTACAATAACTGATGGAAGTTAGATAACCAAGGCCATCAAAATTACATCGTTAAATAATAAATAAGCGTAGTTTTATCCATTATTTGTTTTAACTGAATCCTCGTTACCATACTTCGCTATAAATAAATAAAATAAAAATTACATGTCTGTAGTTTGGAAATCAAGGTTTTATTCACCGCCTGTTCATTAGACAGCCGGTCTCTGCATATCTACCTAGGTATTCGCTTATCTTATGTTATGTCATAAAAAATAAACTTTCGAGACTAGTGCACCAACTGCTAGTGAATGAGGAGATGTAAAACACGAGCACTCAAAAACTAGCGAAGATGACCAGCTGATTAGCGAATAAGCTGTGGTTTTATTAACGTCGTACTGTTATATTATCTTGTAAACTAATACCCAAACATGTGGTTTTTACATATTATTGTCTATATAAATGTCAGTTTTGGTTTTAGAGTTGGTTACAGCAGCTGTCTTGCCATGTCTCATTTTATTGATGATGCTTCTAAGAGACAGCGACGCGAGCAAAACATAAGTTTAGCTTTGCTAAATTCGTCTAAAGCTTTTGAAATCATTAATCATATTTTAGTACCTCTTTTACTTTCTATACTGTATAGCTTAAATCTGGCTTAGTAGAGTTGGAGTAGATATTTTATGATAACATAATTCATTCAAACAGAGCTTTCTTTTTTATTAATTTTTGATACTATTATGACAATGAAAAGTTGATTACCCAGTTGATTACCTATAATACTAAACTAATACCAAATAATAAAGCGAATGCAGATTAAATTATTAATATAATTACAATTATTGATAGTATTGCAAGATTGTGTTAGATACAAGATACCTACAAAGAAAACAATTTTGTAACAAATATTAGTAAAAACTTATATATTTCTTGTTTATTTTGTTTAATGTTATATACACACATTTGTTCAAACGCTGGCATTTGCATAAGGGTAGCATATGCGAATATGAATACCAAAAAATACAGTACATATATATGTACCGGGTGTCCCACTAAGAATAGCTCTCGGCTGTATCTCGGAAAGTATTAGCCGTAGGGTTTACGGAAAAAAATATTTATAACTAAAGGGGCTATGAGAAATTGCTGGAAATTATTTTCAAGTTTGTAGAACGGCCGCTAGGGGGCGCAACTGCAACAAAAAATATGAAAATGGAGTTTGTACACAATTTTGCCTAGATAAGGTGTACTATAAGTAATAGCTTCATAATCTTCAGTAAATTTTGAATATTTTTTGTTAGAGCCATTTTCCTCTATCTACCAAAATAAAGTGGTGGGGGAAGGTTAGATCTGTTTTTATTTAAATATTAATAGCTCTGGACTGGATGATCGGAATCCAACAAGCGAGGGCTCGTTTAAAAGCGCGTTTCTTACTCTATATTGTACCATATAAACAATAATAATAAGCTTTTGAACGTAGAAGCTAGGGGGCGTTGTCTTACAATTTAAAAAACCTTGCGCCTTTTTTCAAAAAAATTAAATGCAGTAGTATATGTAATTTTAGCTGATAGTAAATAGTAGTAAAAGCTTAAAAAGTCAGCGAAAACCGCATCTTGATATCTTTTTCAAACCGAAGATACTAGCAAAATTATAATAAATACCAAAAAATAAGCCCTTAATTACCTTATTTTTACAACACGGCAAATTTTCAGTAGTCCTCTTAATTATGCCCATTCTAACAAAAAAATAAGATAGAAACAGTTAGGTTATTTTAAAATCGACGAAATACCAGAATACCATAATACCAGAGGTATTAATATCTAATAATTAAGATATTAATAACAGTGAACAAGAAACGATGATTCAGTGAAGTCATGGTAGGCTTTGGAAAAAAGTTACTTTTGACAACATGAACATTTTTATAGTCTTACCAGCGTTTTTTATTTTTTAATTGCTTTTTCAAAATGCCTTTATTATTTGAAATAGTTGAAGTTGTTGGCATTTTGAAAAAGCAATCAAAATATAAAAAACGCTGATAAGACTATCAAAATGTTGATCTAATAACAATTTGACGTTTATACTATTACGTCAAAAGCAACTTTTTTCTAAAGCCTACCATGACTTCACTGAATCATCGTTTCTTGTTCACTGTTTTTTACTACTCTTTACTATCAGCTAAAATTACATATACTATTGCATTTAATTTTTTTGAAAAAAAAATGCGCAATGTTTGTTAAATTGTAAGACAACGCCCTCTAGCGTCTACGTTCAAAAGCTTATTATTATTGTTTATATGGTACAATATAGAGTAAGAAATGCTCTTTTAAACGAGCCCTCACTTGTTGGATTCCGATCATTCAGTCCAGAGTTATTAATATTCAAATAAAAACAGATCTAACCTTCCCCCACCACTTTATTTTGGTAGATAGGGGAAAATGGCTTCAACAAAAATTATTCAAAATTTACTGAAGATTATGAAGCTATTACTTATAGTACACCTTATCTAGGCAAAATTGTGTGAAAACTCCATTTTCTTATGTTTTGTTGCAGTTGTGCCCCTTAGCGGTCGTTCTACAAACTTGAAAATAATTTCCAGCAATTTCCCATAGCCTCTTTAGTTATAAATATTTTTTTCCGCAGCCCCTACGGCTAATACTTTCTGAGATACAGCCGAGAGCTATTCTTAGTGGGACACCCTGTACATGGAATAGACATATACATGTACATGGAAAAAAAATATTTCAAAGAATAAATTTTTATAT